AACGAGTAAGGGTTTTACTTATTTAGAGGATAAGAAGGGAAGGGGCTTCTTAGGTTAAGCGTAAAAGGTCTCGAAAGTGCTAGTTTTCGATAATCTAGAATAGTAGACGAAGGCTTATAATTATAACTAAAAGCTACTTCTTTTAGTCGTTTTTATCCTATATATTAGGCGGGGTAGCGCGTAGAGCCTAGGGATTAAATAATGTCGGGATTGGTAGTATATGAAAATAAGAGAGATAAATAAATGCCTAGACTGCGCCAAAGCCCACTGGGCCCATGGGCCGGGCCCAACCCAACCCCCTATGGGTTGGGCCTTGGGCCTGGTTCTTGGGCCCATTGATGGGCTATGGGCTGGGATAGAGAGCCCATTGGGGGCCCAATGGGCCTAAGTGGGCTACAAACATTACAAACATAGCTTATGCAAAAAAACGTGATGTTTTAGGGTGGTAATTTTACTACTAAAAAAAAGGATCGCTAAGAGAATCGAACTTATGCCACTAAAAATTCAACTCTAAGGATAACCACTAAGCTATTCTAACTAAGAAAGGTAATTTTCCTTTATAGGAGCTATTATATAACTAAATTTCTAAGGTATTTACAATTTTTAAGATTAATACCCTATATATCACGTGATTTATAATACTATGTTTTAGATATGTAAATAGCCTATTTATCAAGGTAATTTTTGTATCTAGTTAGATAATTGTATTTTAAATAGATATATATATTTATAATACTAATAAAAAAAAGGAATTTATTAGATTTAGTAATATTAAATAAAATACATTATTCTTTAGAAAATATAGGTCCATTATTTCGTGCCCCGGTGGCTTTTATTCTTGGGGACGTTCAGTCATTGTGATGTCACTCAAGCGAGATTTCAGTTTCATAAAACAGCCCATAAGTTCAGGCAAAACAAGCAGAACCACCAAAATCTCAGTCTTCCAGAACTGCCTTCTTGAGCATCTTTTCTTCCCGGAATTAAGAAAAATTACTCGGATCTTTCGAGAAACAAATTTCAGGACTGCACTTCTCTCGCCATGCCTACCCATGCGCATGTAAAACAAAACCAAGGCCGGCAGGGGCCAGTGGTAGGAAGATCTGAACCACAAACAGAGAAAGTCAGTTATGACCTAACCTCCCTCATAGCTTTGCAAAAGCTGATAGTCTTATAAAGGGACATTCTGTGTCTAAGTCCAAGCTCGCTGAACGTGTGCGCGCAGAACATTCTGTGTCGGAAAATCCTCGATTTGAAGACAACATCAACAGAACTGAAAGACATTCTGGCAAACATGCCAACGAAACGGAAGATAGCAGGGATAAATAGTCCTGCCGTGGACAATGCATGTAAATCCGATTTGTCTTTTTCAATTATCAATAGCCAATGGGCTGTTTATAACTTTATCCACAGTATGCTTTTTCATTTATAATTAAGGTAGGATTCCGGGGCTCCGACAAGGGAGCCAAAAATCCAGCCGTTAAATTTATATTGCATAATTTTCCTATAATAGGTATCACGCGCATACCACTAGCGGCGTAACGGCTCTCATCCTGGATTCCTCGCTGCGTGAAATTTTTGGCTGGGGCCGGTGTCGATAAAACTAGGATTGAAGAGCTCTCGTGAGCTAACCATATATGACCGAAACCACAGAAAACTTTCTCCTTCCGGGGCTTTCCAAATAGTGGTCATCCCCTCAATAGCGCGTTCAGATTGTGCAAATCCCACGCAAACTTCGGCAAGCTAAGTCTCGCAAGGTCTGACTTTCATCTAGTATTCCTTGTACTTAATTCACATCTCTTCTCAGCCGGCCGCCACTTTCCATGACAGATTCTGAAGTTCTCAATCTTCACGTGTTTGATCATTGGAGTTTCACACTCAAGAAAAGAACCGAATTCTGCCGTGCACCTATACTAGCATTCAACTGGTTAAATCTCACATGCACCGTAACATTTATTGCTCAGAGCCCCATGCCCTACATAGTTAGAATGAGACAACGCAGGAGGGTGTATGATTAAACAAACAGTAGACAAGCCAGGTAAGACGTGCCATTGTATGCACGTTTAACACGAAGGGGACAGTAGACATTGTTGCGGAAGAGCTAATGAAAGCGACTACTGTAGCTATTGAGGGTCCTAATTCAAAACCTCACCCGTAGTCGGAACTGTGGGTTCATGCCAGATTTGAAGAAACGGCAGGCTGGAATAAACCCGGCCTGGTGAAGAGGGCAGGAGAGCCCCGTCAAATCTCGGACAGAAACATGCGTGCTCGTTCGTCATTTTCAGGGCCTCAAAGCAACGTCGCGTATATAACCTAGCAATTTAGGATGTCCAGTCTACACGTAGCCAGAAATATTTCGACCAGGCGGTACACATCCGTCTGCGGAAAATGACTTTGTACCAAGCCAGCACGAGTCTTCTAGAGCGGTATTCCTCTATTGAATGTTGGGACGAGCAAGGTTATCAACAAATGAAGACAAAGCGCCGACCCTCACGGAAGTTTATTTTTTTTTTAGAAATAGCCGATGCTTAGGCTCGGGGAGGGTGGGGATAAACATCCCTGTAATATGGCTCGCAGCAAGGCAAGCACATGCTCGTTTACCGTGAATAAAATGCCACCGCTCAGGACTGCCATCGCCAATCTCAGCCGCCCATCCATCTACTTTCTATTTTTAAACCAAAAAGCCTTAGTGTTAGTTAAAATATCTATCTAGGCTAATTATCCGAATACTCTACTCTCTGCCAGCTGCTGAATTTTACAGAGGCTCTTCTAATTGGTGGAGGTGGACCGAAAGCCAGATTTGGCGGTGCTGCTAGTAGATAGCATCTACGACAAGCTTGATCTGGCCTATCCGCGGACGATCCTAGCAGATAAGAAGTAAGGGATAATTAATGCTATCCCTATTGTCTTCCCGTAGGTTGCCCATATACTCTGTATCTGGCATATTAATTTTGAAGCACAGCCGCCCGCTTCTTGCTGGCGACCTCGCGACCGTATAGCGAAACGGTAAGCCCTAGCCGACGATATAAGACTCTCAGACTGCTACTAGCCACGCACTGACAAACAAAACGCTAAGGGGCATCGTATACTTGTTACAGGATGGAGTACGATGCTGAAGCGTTAGATGGGCTTTACGTGAGGACTCTGCGAGGTCCTAGCTAGCAGAAGGAATTCGGGCAATAGAGTCTATCCAGGAATGTGTCTTGTAGTTGTAATAAAACGAATTGCTGCCCTTCCATTTGGAGATCGGCTTAGGCGATATGGGACAATCGAGGATAGTGCCTCACAGCGCTAGCCTGAGTAGGCTGCGCCAAAACCCGCAAGGCCCTCACTTTTGCGGGTTTTTTGCGGATTATGGCGCAGTCTAAGCCAGAGGCGGCAGTCCGGACGGGGTCCTGACACTTTTCTAAGCGTATAGCGTTATGAATTTTGAGCTAATTCTAAGTAGGTTATAAGCAAGTGACAAGTTATTAATGATAATACCCCGATGAGCTCCTAGGAACCTTGTAAGATGTGAGGGGATTCTAGTGTTTGCAGGATAGAGCCTGTCAGTTAGGTAAGATAAAGATGTCTTAAGGAACAAGTGGTATGATAATTAAGAGTGTATAGAGACTGATTCTTGGGGAACTTTTAGGTTCCTCTTAGAGGAGCTAACTAATATAACGGGCAACGGAGGGACAACGGAGCGGTGAGGCAGCACTAACGTGTCGATGCTGATACGCTGCTGGCCCCTTTGGTAGACCCTAAGAGTAATGCAAACCATATGGTTACTCCATGATATACGTATCATATAAAAGACGATGGAAAACGGGCTTCCCGGTACTGAATGTGCGGCTAGACTTCTTTATGTTTATAGGGATGTGAAAAATTAGCATTCAGATAACAAGGATCGCTCATTATGGCCCATTAACTGGCCAATGTTTTTATTTCCAGGCACACATCAGAGAGAGGTATGCGCATCTCGGGCGCCGATACAGTCATAGTGGAAATCAGTTTCCCCATCTTACACTCACAAACTGTTTCACTGCAGCTATTGTATAACTTCTTAATCCGATTTAAGTTACGCTTTTGAAAACCCTGCCTAGGTAAAACTTGGGCGACAATCTCAATCGAGGTTAAACCGCGCTTCGTAATTAGAAGATTCGCCGTTTCTCATACGTGAGCGGGCCTATGGGCTGCTCCGCATAAACCTATCGATAATATTCGCTGCTTAAGCGATTAATCTTCAGCCAATGTCTGTTAATGGCTGTTTGCGCGCATTTCTGCTCGATATGTGTCCCGGTAATCTGACGACAAAAAGGGTCGGACAAGGCACATTGAATCGACGTGCTCCATCAGTAACTGAGGACATATCTTTTTTAATAGACTGAATAGCCAATACGAGGCGGTCTTCTTGTTGCATAGAATTTCCGCTTGATCAGACGCGATCTGGAGGCATAGTGGTTGACGAAAGTTCGAAAGACCCTTTGGGGTGCATAGACCTAGGCCACTCTTACCGATTACGTTAACTAATTAACTAAGTTAAGTCGTTGCTATCTAGCTCAACTATCACAGGCTATCGAATCCATGGAGTGCGACATGGCTATTAGGCCTCGGAAACTTTCTCACAAGCCCCTATTTTGCCCCTTTGAATCCTCATTTGCTCACATCTGAACCTCTGGACAGGATCTCCGACTAACGACAAAGGACAGCCAGGTACTTGAGCTCCCAAAGCTACGGAGAATTACAAGGAAAACATAGGCAGCCAGAAGGACTCAATTTCCTGTTCTTCGCCTGTCGCGGCACCTCCCAAGCAGGTTTTGCAGCTGGTGGATCAAGAGCGCTGTTCGAACCCCCGTCCCATCCGTTCTATCCGCCCGGGACAAAATTTCACGTTCTGAAGTAAGGTCTGTGATACAGTGGCCACTTACTTGCGACGATATTTGCGTTTTATAAATAATCGTGGATACTCATTATTCTTCTGATGCGCCTATTTAACCCTCCGTGAATATACCACCATCAAGATGGCCATTCGTCAGCCGCGTGGCGATTCGCATTATAATTTATTGTCGAAAGAGGCGAGGATTAAATTCACATTTTGTGTGGCAGTAGTAATATCTCTTGCGGTCACTTTCGCTGGAATCAATGCATTGCGGTCGTCCGCATCCTGGGCCGCACATGGCGCTGAGGAGGTTTTTCACGTGAGTACCAACTACATGACAGATCACTCACGATACTGACCAGTGAAGTCTAACAAACCCGACGGTCAAACCATTTGCCGTGATGTCAAGCACGCTAGCAACCAATGCGACTTCGTGAAACAATTTTGCCAGTCCGACGATGATGGCTTGATTTCCTACTTTGGTCTTTACTATTGTTCCCTGCAAAATTATCAAGTTGCCTCATGGCTCCTCATCACAACGTGGTCGATATTTCTCTTTCTGACTATAGGCATCTGTGCTGGAGATTTCTTTACGGTCAATTTGAGCTGCATTTCCCGCCAATTGAACTTGAGCGACACATTTGCAGGCGTCACATTTCTTGCTGTGGGCAACAGCGGCGCGGACATTTTCTCGACATGGGCTGCAATGACGTCCGATAATCCTGAGATGGCAATAGGCGAGCTGGTCGGTTCGGCGAGCTTCATTACTACCGTTACCGCTGGTTCAATCGCTTTCATGGCACCGTTTACGGTGCGCAAAGTGTCACTGGTACGTGATGCGGTCTTTCTTCTCGTGACTGTGAGCTTCGCCCTAGTTTTGCTGTCCAACCAAGAATTCCATTTATGGGAAGGAGTTTTGATGATAGTGTTGTACGTTGTTTACATGACTGGCGTAATGGGTTATCATTGGTGGACGTCACACAATTCAGGCATCAGCGTCACAGGACACTCGGAGAGCCGCAGGCCAGATGAGGAGCGGCAAATTCATAATGGGGCAGCCAGTGAACGTCAGCCACTCATCCATGGTGTTTCCGAGCAGTCTGATATTGAACACCAGTCTGTGCGAAACCCGTCAGACTCATCGAACCTATCGACCAGGAACCCTTACATGGAAATAGGCCGCTGGAGAAATCGGCATGGTAACTGTGTCGTGACCGAATGTGGCTACATTATGCAGCCAAGCCTAGTGGGATCACTTGAATACACATGGCATCGAAGGCTTGCTGATCGCAGTCAAAGACCCGGGGAGACCAGCCTTCCAGAGGACAGTTATGGACGAGGGCAATCCCAGGAGAGCAGACACCCCGCCTGGCCAGCCCTAGAAGGCGACTGTATTGGGCCAGAGGCTCAGCATACTACTCTAACTGCTAAAGTTGCAAGCACATTGTTCCCATCTCTCCAGAGGCTACGTACAAGGAGATCTTGGCATGCTGTCTTCAACCTCATCAGCGCTATTCCTTTTTTCCTGTTGAGAATCACCGTTCCTCTCGTCGACGATGCGCATGGAGAACACAGCGACGAATGTGGGCACGGATGGGATAGATGGCTGCTCATATTACAAGTTTTTGCTGCCACCCAGCTGGTTTGGACCATTTACTGGTTAAGCAGTGATGAGCCCGTGCAAAACCATCATTGGGGTGTTTGCGCGCTCTATCTCCTCGCAGGGAGCGTGGTGCTGTGCGTTGCAATACTGATCAGCAGCAACTCGAGATCGCAGCCTAAGTGGTACAAGGTCATAAGTGTTGCTGGCTTTGTTATGAGCACCTTCTGGCTATCAATAATCGCGGACGAAGTCGTATCTATTTTGAAAGCCGCCGGGACATTTATGGGTATCTCCCAGGCCATCCTTGGCTTTACGGTTTTTGCGCTTGGTAATTCGGTGGATGATTTCGTCGCAAATATCAGTGTGGCTCGGCATGGCCACCCAATCATGGGCCTGTCGGCCTGCTTCGGTGGTCCGCTATTAAGCATTTTGCTAGGCCTTGGACCCAGCATAATTTTTGTAACGTGTCGCGATGCCAAACGGACGGGGACATTAAGACCGATCTCCGTCCGAGTCGTTAAAGCACTGATCATTTCGAGCGCTGTTCTTGCTGCGACGATGCTCTTTCTGATCGGCACACTGAGGTTAAATCAATGGCGGATGACCAAGACAATAGGGTCAATACTCGTGGCTACTTGGATAGTTCTTACGGCTGTGAACCTTATACTAGAGTTAGTGTAAAGCTTATGAGGAAATAAGAAAGTGGATCGTAGCCGACTATCTGTCTTTATCTTTACCTATTTCGGAGTGCGATTGTTGGATAGAAGGTATGTTAAACGGAGAACCGAGGTACCCTGAGGGACCTAGGTACAGAGACAGAGTAAATATAGCGAGAGGAAAAGGATACCAGAGGAATCGTCAGAGGAAAAACGTTCTAGAGGTATTATAATTAAATTAAGAGGTATGTGTGAAGAACAATATTCTCAAGTGATTATACGAGAAGTGTATACTTAATGCTACATAGCCCGTGGAATTAGAATAGTTAACTAGTTCGTAGAGGCTTATTGCTTAGTAAATCCATGTTGAAACATCCGCTTAAACTTTCAATATGCTAAGTTTACCTTTAGAGAGCAGCCACATTTTTCACTACATTACATCAAAGAGATCGAGTTCCTTCGGAAAAATTCACGTCTGTTTCTGATTGCGTTCCGACATATTCGGCAGTTAGCTTGTACACAAATAGATTACGGAAGCCCAAATGCCCGCTTCATTTGCTCGTAGACTATGTATGTGATCGCAACAGAAGGCACAACTTTGATCAAGTTTAGCGACATGCCTTTGAATAGACCACCGTAGCCTTCTTTCCGTATCGTTTGCTGCGCTACATCAATGATGCCGTCATATTGATGATTGTGCAGTAGGGTCCCGCTGGTCTGCAATCGAGTGCGCAGAAGATTCAAAGGCCAGACTAGAGAAGCCCCTAGTGCACCACTGAATCCACCAATTATTGCAGTTATAGCCGAGCTTGGATAGGCGTCCCTGCCCTGAGCCCCTTGAGCTTCGTGTCTGCGTATCCACCATTGCTTAGTGTACTCATAGGTAGTGAGGTCAATCGCGGAATATGGATATTGTCCAATGAGGCCCCAAGTAAGGCCACGGAAATAAGCCCTTAGTCCTCCTGTTCTCCACATGGCCTTTGCCGTCCGCCACATTAATTCTGCTCCATATTCCCCGCCTTTCCTCATCTCGCATTGCATACGGAATCGAAGCGTATCGATAGGGTAAGCAGTAAGCCTGTGAAAGTGACATCGTTAGGGTTTGAAGATTCTCCAATGTGAACAAATCAAACGTACTGCGCAGCAACTCCACCCAAGCCCCCAGAAGCCGTTTGTGCCCAGACCGATATCTTTGTAGGCCCATCGACACACTCCCAGCTGGCAAAGAGTTTTTTGGCTGTCTTCCAAAAAATATTAGATCGTTGTTTGCGTCGATCAATATTATGCCAAACCTTACTTCATAAGTACCAAATTTGATGGCACCTTCGGGCAACATTTTGACGACGTCGAGGCCGTTCCCGGCCCACAAGCTCTTGAAGCCACCCACATGCCATACGCCGTCGCATGCCTTCATCATATTTCTATAGGAAATCATGCCAGCCTTCCATAAGGACCCTTGTTTCGCGCATTCAATTGCGGCGACTTCGCGAGATGTCTGCGACATTAGGTAGACTTTCAGCCGGTCCAATGGAGCGGTGACCGATCGCGAAGTGGCGCTCGCAACGCCGCCAGGGAATAAATAGCCTAGTGAAAAATGATTAGCTGGCCACTGCTTGAGAGTCATAATTTTCTAGAACAGAAAATACCTATGTGTCGACGACCTTCGTCACTCACGTGCGAGTCGCCATCATGCCGCATAGTCACAGACCGCTTGCGGGCGTTTACTAACTCACTCATGCTGCGCGAAGTTTATGTCATTGACCTTACTCTCGGTCGAAATATAATGGAGAAGAGAAAAATGATATGGTGTTGGCTATATGGTCTAAGGGTACAGAAATTCACACGGCCTTAACGCCGGCAATTTCTTCGTCCCTGCTTCAGATGACGTATTCCGTAAGTGAGTAGCCACCAAATACGCCGGCGATACATTCGATAAATTTACAATATTTGTCTCAGCAATGACGGCATATAATAAACTTTCTTACAATTTCAAGTTTTTTAGTGATCCTGCTCTTCAGGGTCTAGAAGAATTCTGTAATTTGGTGTTGAGGACATATCTGGGAGCTTAGTAACCTAATGATGCGGTAGTTCAATTTTCTTGAAATTCATATATGCTACTGAATATCCTTATCGAAAATAGAATATAGGTCTTCGAATCAACTCAAGCTCAGATTCTTGAAATATCAGGTTGGAATTTCTCCCACTTCATATGATGTAATTACATCCACTGTACCGAATCGCCAGGATAACCCGGAAGACCGGTATCAATCGGGCTGGTCTACTACTTGTTAAAGCGGCGGTAAGCACGGGTATACGATTTCTATGGGGCGTATAGTACTTGGTTTTTGCACCGCACTAATGATGCACAGATGCAAGCCTTAGCTGGTCGCGATACCACCAGTTCACTTCATAAGTTGTGGACGCTCCACAAGCGGGTGTAAAAGTAGCCGTTTTTATCACACTTCCCGACTCATTTTCGTAACGTATTCACCAGTGAGTTACTCGACTGGTGTTTGGTTCATTTGTCTAAGGCATAATTCCATTCCGCTAATGCAGTATTATTCCAATATCCAAATCAAGGTACCATACAAAACTTCCAAAACCAAATGTCGTGGTGCTATGTGGACGTCTGCTTCGGTATGTGCGTAGGCGCGTTGTAACTGGTATAATCAACGTGAACAAAAGTTCTATCCAGGATGGGCACTGATTCGAGGAAGTAAGTCAAGACCTCGCTGAGGTCATGGCTATCCTTGAGGGGCGTGACAGCAGACAGGACAATGTCGACTTCGACGAAGAGCTTGTCACCAGCGTGGTAGGCACGAAGGTTCTGGATCTGGCGAATAGCTGTGACGAAACGCATTGTCAGGTACAACAGGAGGTTTCGCTCGTCGGGCTGTGCAGAGAAGCCAGTTAAGTTGCGGACATGAAGGGCTGAGGTTTGGCTCCAAGTCAGAATGACGACGAGGGAGAGGAAGAGGCCACCAGAGGCGTCAAGCCACCATACACGCCCGTAAAAGCCAATCATAGGGAACAAATAGAGCCGACATTGAATATGACGTCAGTTTTGGCGTCGTCAGCTAAGGCTCTCACACTGGAGTTCTTGACCAAGCGACACCAAATCCACACGGCTCCTTTAATGACAATTGTCGTTACCATGATGATGATGGCTGGCAAACCAAGCTCGAGGATCTCTTGCTTAGGACTTGCTAATCGCTGAACACATTCAAGTCCAACTTGAACAAATGAGGTTATCATGATAATGGAGAAGACAAGAACTCCAACAGGCTCCAAGCGACGTCGACCAACAGGATAGCGATACTGATCTTGTTGGCTCGACGAAATAAGAAGGGAGGTGGTCCAGATAATGGCAGTACTGAGAAAGTCAAGCATAGCATCGACAAGACTGGCAAGAATAGACATGGACGGCACGGAGATGATGACAATAATCTTTCCGCCAAGCAGTATTGCGTTGGCAATCATGTTGACCCAGATGGCGAGGGTGACAATGGGGTCGTCATTCTCTACCTCGGCGTCCTCGAGCCAGGAGAGATATGGCCTCGGACCTGTCTCGGACCTTGTTATGGCTGACGTCGGTTCATTATCGCCATCTTCCTCATCCTGAAGTAGAGGGATGCTTTCGGAAGAACGAAATATGTCCTTTGGAGTGCGCTTTGGTGAGGGGGATGCTGGCTTGTGATAGTTGGAGCTCAGGGTCGTACTTCTATTGTTGATGCTCTGGTCTGGATTCGGCATTATGGAACTGTATGATCCAGTACCTAAACGACTGATAGCCATTGGCGGAGAGGGAGAAGTTGAGGAGCACTGTGGTTCCTCATTGATTGTGGCGGGGACATCAATGGGGTGAAAGGCAGATGCTTCGAGCTCTGCCGAGTACTCATTGAGCAGGTCATGAGGAATCGACGAGTCCAGCAGACAGTCGATGTACATGTACTGCTGGATGAGCTCATTTGTCCGCTCATAGTATTTGCGGATGGGCTTCTTCATGGCCAGGAGTTGATCATCGTGCTTCCAATAGCGCTCCCAGCAATATCGAGGATTGCTCTTCCCAAGAAGATTCCTACTCCTCGCCTGAGGGCCCTTGAGAATCCGGCTTAATCGCGCCTCATCTTGCAGAAGGTGCTCAATGCCTTCGTTCTCGTGGCGCAACCTCCATAAGCCCCACGCAGATCCAGACTCCTCGTCATCCGAGGCATTCCTCGAGACCGGAGACCGCCAGAGGCCGGTGAGACTCTGCTGGGACTGGCTCCGGATGAGCGATGCCAGCGTTCCAGAGTGGGTGCTTAGCGGATAGTGGTAGTGGGCATCATCGTTGGAGCTGAAGGACGGGCGACGGACGGGAGAGCTCATGGTGGCCGGCAATGTGTCGCAAGCAATCAAGATGGTGATACAATACCGCTCTTTTTGTAAATCACGACGCGTTTGGCGATTGCCACGGACAAGACAGGGATATCACGAGAGAGGTACAAGGTGTATTGTTGCGGACAAACAGCTTGCGCGACAGAAGGGGATGGCGATCCCGAGATGTGCCGTAATGGTGAGTAATCTTATTTCATATTCAATGTCATAGACGGTGATTCAGGTACAAAATGTAACTAAAAAACTTGTTTTCAAACCAGAATGCATAAAATATACAATCAGGGTTTACCATGTTTGTCTTATTTGATAACCTGCAATGATAACCGTTGGTTTGGAATTTCCAGCTCTTACATACACGTGCGGGTTTAACCCTAATTGTTCCAAACCCCATGCTGGTGGTCTCTGTTTACAAAGGCGTGCGCGCTGTTTTCTGAGGGCCACATTCCATTTACACCCTACTCATTTGTAAGCGTAGAAGCGTTCTGGAACGGCCGGACCGCCCGGACCGCCTTTGTATATCGAACGAATCAAAAAGTACCGCAGTACTTGTGCCGTGACCACCCACACCGCTTCAATTATGCTACTATTCCGATTGTGAATCATATCGTGGGTTTAACTTCGCCGAAATCAAGTTCACCTACCGGATAAACAACGTGATCGACTTGACGTAATCGACCACCCGAGTTAGTAACCGCCACCTCCTATACCCTCTAATCGCATTAGACTGATATATCAAAGGAAGATTATGCAGGCCATTTATCATTTACAAAATGCTGTCGTAAAATTATTTATGTTAAACGCGCCTTACTCTAGCCAGTAACTACTTATGAAGCGGGCGAGTACATGAATCCTCTTTGTTCCTGTTCCTCTTGTCCTGTTCCCAGCGTCCTCAGACCCACACTTGCTACCAGTCGTGATTATTTTCTAATCGGGCATGCTCCACGCTTGATATTTGCTGAATTAATTCACTTCCTTTCTACGCTTCATTACCCTGCTTTGTGTATTTTCCGTTGTGCGTTAAGATTACTGAATACCCCCGGTTCAAGAAAAGAAGACTATTTCAGAGATTTCATTCACCTTTCTCTTGTGTCTTTCGTCTTCTGCATCTCTCCTCAGACATATATCCAATCCTTTGCTACTTTCCCTCTCATTTTCTCTCATCTACTCCTATTCCTTTACGACGAGCAACCGAATGCCTAATCCCTCACACTCACATATATTTTATTGATACCACAATGTTCAGGCCCACAGTGGCTCATCAGGCTATCAAGGTGTTAAACCATCTCACCCACTCTCGTGCAGTGACTGCTGCGTTCCGGCTGTCAGTGGCCAGCCCTTTCTTTCGCCCCTTATCCTCCACCGTCCCTCTTTTCAAACACGAGAAAAAAGATCCCAAGAAGGATAATTTCCTGGCCGCCACTACCAAAGCTCCCGAAGGCGTCTCGGGCGAGCAGGAGGGCCGTTTCGCGCGTACCGATAAGAATGTTAAGATCGAGTACCCCGACGACGCAAACATGCCTCGCAGCCCTATTGTCCAGGGCCGTGGTGGAGTGCATCTTAAGCGAACTCTGGCTCAATTCTCTCTGGAGAACAAGGTCAGCTTAGTCACTGGAGGTGCCCGTGGTTTGGGTCTTATTATGGCCCAGGCACTGGTTGCCTCTGGCTCTGACGTAGATATTGTCGATTTGAATAGTACGTAGGTCTGAATGACAAATATTTGAGTGTGTTTAAAGGCTCTTACCAACATATCACAGAACAGGAAGCTGAGGATCAGGCGGAGAAGCTCGTAGAGCAGTTCCAGAAAGTGAACCCGGGCCTGGGGCAGTATGTTAATTGCGTGACGGCCTCAGATGTAAAGTGGAAGCTAACTTTCATCCCTACAGAATGCCCAATATCACTACGCACTACGCTGATGTCGCTAGCCTATCTGTTAACGGAGCTATTGCGGAAGTCATCCAGAAACATAGCAAGATCGACCACTTGGTGACTTCAGCTAGTTTCACTGAGAACTTTGATGCCATTTCATATCCTCATAACCCTATGCTGAAGCTCTGGGGCGTAGTTGTCGACGGTACTTACCTGTTTGCTACCGGTGTTGCGAGACAGCTTATAGAGCGTAATGTTCCGGGAAGCATGGTGATGATCGGAAGCATATCCGGTGCTATTGTGAACGTTCCTCAGCCCCAAGCTCCTTACAATGCCGCCAAGGCTGCCGTTCGTCATCTAGTTTCATCTCTTGCCGTCGAATGGGCAGGTCACGATATTTGCGTGAACATCATCAACCCTAGATATATGCTGACTACACTGTAAGTGGGGCCCAAATGGTATAGTACATTATGTAGACATACTAACAGTCTTTCCTTTTTAAGGACCGGCAAGATTTTGGATGAGAACCCTGACCTAAGATACAAGTGGACCTCACACATCCCCATCGGCAAGATGGGTACTCCTAAGGATCTCATGAGCGCTGTTACGTTCCTGCTCATTGGCGCATCCAGATACATAACCGGTCCAGAACTTCGCGTCGACGGTGGCTACACCTTAGTCTAGAACATACATTATTTCAAGAAAGTAAAATAACCATAGTGGCCCGCCGGCCGTTGGCTGAACGGATAACTAAGCTATGTCGTTAATATAATGCAATATAACTTAAGGCCTTACTAAGGCTCTACGACGATAAGTTAGCGTACGTTTGGCTCTATTAGGCTCTATCCCATAATGTTAAGTGGGATTCAGGTTATCCCAGTAGGCTAGGGTTTCGTTAACTATAGGAGCCCATTTATGTATACGAGTAGAAATGCCCATCCAAATGCTAGTAGGGGTTATCTGATTGGATCCCTACCAAATCTGACAGGCTAATACTGTAATGCATACAATATCCTCGGTGTCTTTGAATAAGGCTATTTAGGATATATTTCTAACTACATCACCTATTGTGTTGACCTAAAACTAGTCTACGTTGAAGTATAGCGTACTTCTTAAACGCTAATAACAAAAGCCTATCGCCCTCTTCACCCTGGCACGTGCGACCTCGTAGGCATCGACAACGTTCTCGCCTGCTTTATCGCGGGCAGCACCTTTATATGGGATAACTCGTTCCAGCTGCAGACCAAGGATGACTCCCTTCAGCCAACTATCGATATACTCCTTACGTCATTATGTTCTTGTGGTACGGAGCTTATATCCCCTGGAACTCCTTTGAGCGAAATGACTAGTTATCCCCCACAAACCAGTGTTTCTGATTTCATCTATCCCATGATGCCTCGGTGATAGAGAATAATGGATGACGGTACCGTAGAGCGCCCAGTAGGCGCTAGGAAAGGAACTCACAAGGTTCAGAGATAGTAATTCTCCTTTATGACATGAGCTCAAAGAGGGAGATGAAACCAACCAGCACGGTGGTTATTATATCTAACTTGAAGAACTAGAGCGGGCTCGCCCACAGGTTATGCACCATCCTGGCGGTGATGACGATAGGGAATAGCGCTAGCAAGATAGTTGTCAGGGTTCACATTATTAAAGACAATGTCGACGGTCGCGCACGAGCAATCAATTTCTCAGTCCATACCTATTGTCCAAACATCTCGAAAGGGTCTTCCAAACCAATAAAAATCATGGAACAAACCGTGCCGAAAGCCATAAGACTTAGGGTGTGAGTCTCACATGCAGCCGCCTTATGTAAATTGCCACAGGCGAAGAAACACCCAGCCAAAGACATAAGCATAGAAAACGTAAGCCTATAACCAACTTGCTATATCACGTACGCCCCAAGGTTCCAAGGCCTCACTCACTATCACATCTTCAAAAATCACATCAAATATGACAATAGAGACGCCATATCACCACCCAAAAGAGCAGGGGCTTATTATCTGTAAACGCAGTACTCACCGCTTACAGCGCAAAGCGGTGTTGGGCGGCCGGCAGGGTACGGATAAGATGGAAGTCTACGGCGGATCCAAGTTGGGTACTGTAGCTACACGCCCTTGAGACTGGCCGAACATTCTTCCAGAAAGGTTCCCTACACCGAGCTCGAGCTTCAGAAATGCTTTGAGAATCACATTCTCCATATTAAACTCCTGTAAATTTCCAACTCGTGGTAGCTATAACTCTTCCTCAAATGACTGTCATTATGTTGGTCGACCGTAATCCTTTACATAGAGGGTTGACAAACGCACGCTCATCACATTCCGCGCTTTGGACGAGGTAGGCAAAGCGCCGCAGCACCACTCGCGCAGTCAGAACGTGCCATACTAAGGAGCGACTAGTTCAAACAGAACTATCGCATATTTCCACCGGCCCGAAGAGGGCGAGCGTTTCCACGAACCTGTAGCCAAGAAACGGCCACCATGTCACTTCTTCTCTGCAGGAGATGGCCCAATAGAGGAATTTCTGGCCAGCTCCATTTGCTGCCCCTGAATTACCTGAGAAATGGCGTCTTCTGTCTGAAGGTAGGTACGCCTTCCTTGGATGAACCAGAAGGCAAGTGACACGATAAGCATGATTCCAAGGACGGCAATGGCATAGTTCATATTGGCTGGCAAGGGATTCGGGCTGTTAGGGAAGAGGAAGAAGATAGTTGTGACCATACAGTAAACAATACTAATCGAGTTGATAAGAGGGCCAAGCCGACCAAGGCGGAATGGGCCAGGAGGAATGCGGTCACGTCCTGTAACAAGCAAGGCTATAATAGGGATGGCGTAGGAGATAGTCAGAGCGACAGTGCTCACGCTTAAAATTGCGGTAAGCACAGTATTGGCGAAGAGATACAGAACCCCAACAAGACTGATAAGGAAGCCTTGGGCCCACAAAGCTCGAGCAGGAACGTGCCATACAGGGTCGACATAGGCAATGTACCGGCTCCAGGGCAGGCCACCGTCCCGAGCGAACCCCCAGGTGAGACGGGAGCTTGTAGTGATACAGCTAACACCCTGGCCGATTCCATTGAGAGTGAAGAGGGTAATAAGGGCCGTACCGCCCTGGGGACCCACCGTGTTCGCCATAAGATCGACAAATGGAAGGGCCGCATTGACTGTCTGGCTCACATCCTGGATGCAGAAAAGGCAGACAATCATAAAAATAAAGCCAGTCACTGCCCCCGAAATGACTGCCAACAACATGACACGCGGAACATTGCGTCGGGGCGCAGGGATTTCTTCAACCATATGGATAACAGAGTCGAATGCTGTCAATCCATATGCTGACTGCACGAGGCCGATAAACCAAACCACTCCGTTCGGCCATCCAGTTCCGTTGATCCAATTTCCGAAGACAAACTTAGGCGATTGGAAGGACAAATCGTTCTTGACCCCTACTGAGATCAAGAGGGCCAAGGAGAGAACAATAAATTGGAGGGCATACCATGACCCCACGACGTTGTTGAGCCATGGCAGGAACTGCTCCTTCCGACATCCCACAACATTGATGACAGTCAGCAACATTGTCACGCCTATATAGACCAAGAAGTTGAGCCATCCTTCTCCCACACCGGCCCAGTTTGGGTGGAAAATCGTGTTGATCTCCAGCAGGAACTCTGCCAGGAAAGCGTTTAGGGATGCGGACAGAGTCCACCAGCCAAAGGTATTGATCCAGGCGCACATGTATGACAGGAATCGACCCAAGGGCGTGTTCCAGAGCTGATAGACCCAGTATGCCTGGCCCAGAGCCGTGGGCATACTGCTGCAGAGTTCACCGAGGGAAAGCGCCACACAGATATTGCAGAAAGTGACCAGCACCAGGCCCCAGAGTATAGTGATGGAGGCACCATTCTGCAGCCCCGTAGCCAGATCCTGGGCAAAGACATAGTATGTTCCTATAGGGAACATTCAGCATCCATAAGAAACAAAACCGCTTGGGCCAGATGTAGACAACTTACCCAAAACACAGAAAGCGAGGCTGAACATGCTGTAGAAGTTGAATTTGCGAGTGAGAGACTGCTCATGGCCCATCAACGCGAGGTCTTGTGCATCCTGTGCATCCTGGTCTGCTGGCATAGGGCGCTTGATAGTTGATAATGATTCCGCATCCATTTTGCTCAGATAACGGTCAGGGATCCAAAAAGGATAGGAGGAAAGGGAAAAAAAGAGGAAGGGGTGAGCAGTGATGACCGCCAGCGACTCGGACCCGGGAATCCGTAGCTCCTAAATACCTGGCCCCAGTTGCTTTTACAAAGTTCTAAAGCGTCATAAACGGGCGTCCTCCAGGACCTGAAGGCGAGTAGAATTGCTGTACGAGAATATTGTGGGGCGCAAAGAGACTGAGGTGGACACGCTACCGGCCTTGAAAGCCGGGGGTGGGTCGTGGAATGAGGGCTTGGATGGCTCGAAGTGGGCGGCGAAGATATGCTCACGAAGTTACGAGTGGCTTTTTGCCCCAGCAGGCGGGCGAGCATAGTTTGTGTAAAGTCAGGTTTTAGGGACCGCGTTCCCCGTCCAGATCGGGAGGTCATGAGTGTAGTTAGGAGCTTGGCTTGATGGGGAAAGACTACCCGACTTGATGAACGCAGTCGAGGGAATAAAGTTGCTAGCGCTGCCGCATCGTTACAAAGCAACGTGGGAAATAACACGTAGTGGGAGGTGCCGGATAATTTGTTCTTATCGCCCGACTGGTGAGCCTAAGAGAAAGGAAGGACGACACGATAGGATGCCGGTCGCACACCGATTGCCCGGGAGTGGCCGGCATTTTCCCTAGGGGATCCAGCCATCTCCTCCTCTTTCCCTATGAGGCTCTTAACGCTGTGGATCGTGCCTTCTCGCGTCTTTGGGCCCCCTCTAGCGCTCCGGAGACCCCGAGACCTAACCGGGCGAGGCGATTAAAATAAGATGCTACGGTCGCTTGATGGTAGATATCAGGCGCCGTGATTTCGGATGCAATTTCTCTTTCAGCGCTAGACCACACTAGGGGATTGCTGAAAGAAGGCTAGCCCTATTAGCAGTTCCTCGCTTGCGGTTCAGCTTCACAATTCGTGAAAGCAGGGGAGCATGAGCCTGACAACTAAGAATTTGCAGTCTGTAGCCTGTTTTTGCTTTCTATAAATTGTGTCTGGCTGCGGAGAACCCTGTGAAGGCATGCTCTTGAAACCATCATATCCTATCGTAGAAACAGAATCAGAACACTCGTCGTTAGCCGGCGAGTAGAGAGGCAAAATGTCGGAGGATGGACCTTCATCGGTTAAATTTGAAATTCATGTTGTTCTCCTATTTATCTAGTTCCTCTACCTCCTCCGCCATCTCAGTAACTCCCCTGGATGAGAGGAGCATTGACAGCAACTTCATCCGGGGCCACGGCAGATTGTTGTATTTCAGAGGAAGACATGCCATTCTTCATGGTAGGGGATATACGTGAGGTCATATATACAACGAGAAGATCAAGTTGGTTTTCAATCAACTTAGTGCCTTGTATAGTTATCTCGAGAAATATTTCTGGTTGTGCAGCTTTGTTCCTGATCTGCACCAGCCTCATATTATAACATTCCTCCTCAGGGTCGCTTTGCTGGCAAGACGATACTGAATTCACTCTGAGCAGTCAGGCCTTGGTAAAACCACTCAAAACCTCATGGAAAAACCAAGTGGACAGAGAGCCTGCACAGTCACACGCCGCTTCGATTTCTAAGAGGCAACAGAAGTTGCCAAAAGCTGAAGGCTCCAAAGGCTTTATACAAAGACCGTCACCGGCCTGTTCCTTGTGGGAACATATTGGAGACCGATCTCTCCGGCATTCAGCACTGCTCGCTGATAATGGGATTTCACATTGAAACAACACTTGGAAATTTCACATGGTCATCCGGAACAGCTCAAGCGATATAGCCATACCAATTTAGTCTCGTCCAGCCGGTTGCCCACCGTGTGGTGCCACGGACAGGGCGTGAACTAGCGATGGGTGCGGGGTCGGAGAGGCGAGAACGCCGCAATCCATTTCTGGAGCAGATCATATGGCTACCCTTTAAACCCAATAAAAGATTATACTTTTATTTCCATTTTTCTCAAAACGGTTCAGGCTATTTCATCATCTTTTATCTCGAGCAGATTATGATAACATGGGTATGCTGAAATTGGTAACCAGCTTACGCTTAGGACGGAATAGTTTTTTTACTTTACAAGTTCAAGTCTTGTTACCCAGCCCCCGCTATATCGAACTAATTTTGGCAACAATTTGCTTTCATCAAATCGAGAATTTCGCTATAATTGTCGGAAACTCCGGACCATTGGTTCGCATGTAGACAGAACCGTTGGGCACGAGAACCCAAAAGAAAGTCGTTTTCGCGGGAAACTCCTCTATCCCAGTGAAGCCCATGACTCTAATATGTCACCGCACAGCCAGGCCAGAGCAGAAGATGGGCCCGAAAGCAGACCACACCCAGAGTTTCGGTGTCGCATACAGGCTACAACTTAATCCTCCCTCTCCCTTCTTCCTCCTGCCGCACGAATCACCGCAGGACCGACTGCGGTTCATCAGTCCATAATGATGGATTATAGTAACGTACGCACGAATGCGTGAAGGACCCAACCCGTATTCCCACGACTCAGCTGCGATCTGAATGCCATTAAAGCACGTCGGATGCGTGACTGGATGAGAAATTACAAAGCGGTGACGGCGCGATCACCGCGATTGAATTAGCGCGGGCAATGAATCAGAACGTCGTCGATAACCTGGATATGGCCAGTATGGGCTATAAGCAGGCATTCTCGCGTAAGTACAATAAATGGAGCATGCTGGCGCTAGCGTTCAATATCTTGGGCACTTGGGCAACGTTTGCATATGACCTGGATGGCGGCCTGACTGACGGCGGGCCGGTTAGTATCCTCTGGGGCCTGTCCACTGTCACCTTTTGCAACCTTTGCATCGCCGCCTCGTTGGGAGAGCTTTGCAGCAGCATGCCCTCTGCACTGGGTCAGGCTTACTGGATATTCCGCCTCTGGGACTCTCCTTGGGGTCGCTTCCTCTCGTACCTATGTGCATGGATAAACACGTTTGGCTGGTGGGCGGTCACGGCATCGCAAGTCGCCTTCATGACCAATTTTGCATTGGCGATTAAGTCCATGCTCGACAACATGTGGTTAGGCGCTAGTGGCTGGTTACTGTTTGTTGTCTACCTTGGGATCACGTTCTTGTTTACCATCGCCAATGCGGTAGCGGGTCGGAAGGACTATGTTCTGCCGTGGTTAAACAACATTATCGGTATTCAGTTTGGTGCGTTGCTCGTCGCCTTTTCACTGTCAATGCTAATCTCGACCGGCGTTCACTCGAATCTACGATACCAAAGAGCGTCATTTGTCTTCGGCCAATGGCTCAACCGAACCGGTTGGCCGGATGGCGTTGTGTGGTTTACGGGTCTCCGTATGGCCGCGTATGGCCTAACTGCGTTTGACAGTGTCATCCATATGGCGGAGGAGATTCCAGCACCGCGAGTGAATATCCCGCGAGTGTTGTATCTCGTCGTTATCATAAGCGCTACGACAGGAGGAATCTTCATGGTCGTCAGCTTGTTCTGTATGCAGGACCTAAATCAGGTCCTGGATTCACCGACGGGTCTTCCATTCACGACGCTGGTGACTTCAACGGTGGGATCGGGTGGCGCGGTTGCGCTAATGGTGTTGTTTGAGATTAATGGTTTGGGTCAAGGCATCAGCATAATGACGGCGACCTCACGTCTCACGTGGGGCTTTTCTCGTGATGGCGGCTTGCCGTGGAGCAATTATTTGTCACATGTGGATGCTTACTGGAATGTGCCGCTGCGGGTGTTGTGGATTGAAAGCCTGTTTATCTCGCTGATCGGAGTACTCTACCTTTTCAGCCAAAAAGCGCTTCAAGCTGTGGTAAGCGTCAGCACGATCGCTCTAACAGTATCATACGGACTGCCGATTGTAGTCTTGGTTCTCGTTGGTCGTGATAAACTACCCTCTCGGAAATTCGACCTTGGCGGCTGGGGATATTTGCTCAATTCGGTCAGCATCGTTTACTGTTGCATCACCACCACCTTCTTCTTTTTCCCTAGCACACCGCATCCGTCTGCGAGCGAGATGAATTACGCAATTGCTGTTTTCGGCGTCATGTTGGCGGCCTCAGTGATCTTCTGGTTCATGAAGGGCAAGGCGACATATTTGACAGCGGACAGAACCATGCAGGAGATTATTCGTGCTCAAAACCTGCTGCCCATGGCTGAACAGAGTCGTTCTGACCAGATCCGATTTTACATCGAGACTGATCGGTCAAGGCTGGCTGCATCCCGCCTGATGGCCTTGTGGGATATGGATGCTGAGGGACAATTATAAGGATGTGTCAAAACACAACTAGCTTACGCTAGTAGACCTTAGCAAGGACTGGGTCCGGTCCTAAAGTTAGGACCGCACCACGGTCCCCCGCAAATTCATAATTAGACATTGACATGGCCCATGGGCCCGTCCATATGGATGGGTCCTGGACACCTATTCCTGTCCATGGACGGGCCGACTTTTTCTGTCTATGGACGGGCTGGCCTATCCTATGGGGGTTGGTGGGATGCACTACGTACTAGTTAGGGTTTTTGCTTAACTATGGGAGAAAAACAGCGCTAGTGAGTGTATACTAATTAGGTTTCGCGAGTGTATCCTATTTGAATTTAACGGTTAGATAACTCTAAAAATTTAGGAAGTCCTAAATTAGCGATTAGTAGACATTAACATGCCCATATGGGTAGACTGCGCCATAACCCGCGAATGGGTTCTAGAATCAAAACCCAACCTAATCCAACGCGGGTTTTAGGTTCTGCACCTAGAACCCAACCTAACCTAATAGGTTTTAAATCTAAAGTTAAAAACCCATAAATAACCCATTTCGACCCATTCTTACATAAAATCCTAGTCTTAGCGTATATAATTCGGCTTAGACTACGCCATAACCCGCAATGCGGGTCAAGACCTTCAACCCGCACCCGAACCCGCTATGGGTTTAGGTTATAAGTTGTAACCCGAACCCAACCTAGTAGGTTACAAATTTAGATTTGAAGACCCATAAATAACCTATCTTGACCCGAATTTACATAAAATCCTAGTCTTAGCGTATATAATTCGGCTAATTTATCTTAATTAAATACTATTATTTATATATATTCTAGTTATAGTCCTCCTAAGTTATTAACTTTGGTTCTAATCACTTAAAATAAAATGAAATTCCTCTATATATTAATTAATTAATATTAGTAATTAGTTATTTATATATATTTAGTAGGATCCATCTAAAGGGTTACGGTGGAAGCGTGAGAATATTAGAATGGCCTTTCTATTCTATAGAAATATATATCTATTATAGAATAAAGGTGGTGTACCTTTTAGAGGAAACGTCTTGCTTTTATTATTTTATCTTATATATACCTTTAATTTTATTATTTCCTCCTATTAAATTAGTCCTTGTACTTTATTTTATTATAAATATAAGTCTATTCGTAATTTATTTAGGTGTAGTGTCTATAAAATATGTCGGGATTGGTAGTATATAATAATAAGAGAGATAAATAAATGCCTGCGGGTCCCTATGCGGCAGGGCTGTCCTCAGGACAAATATTTGTAGAGAGAAATACTACCTCCCGTAGAGGTTAGCTACTACTGCGGCGTAGTGGCTTACCCCTGGAAGATGAATAAAGATAAAGATAGAGGGTCTCTTTGGTCTGCCTTTAGGAGAGAAAGGTAGTAAGAGAATAATTCAGATGAAAGCTCTTGTTTTATTCAGTCTGGTTTCTAGGCCATATTTATAGACAGAAAATATTCAGTTCATCTAGCTAATTACCCAAGGTAAGCGTAGGCTGTTTGCCCGAGGTAATCTTGCCGTAAACGTGCTGTTGCCCGAGGTAGGTAAACGTGCTGTTACCCGCGGCTATAGACAGGATAGGCCTAATAACCTCGGTTTGGTAGGCTGACGTAGATAAAAAGCATAGTAAAGGCCGAAGTGAGGGGAAAGTGAGAGATAAATGAGAGATAATTGGAAGATCAGATGAAAGCGGTGAGAGATGGCAGAACGGGAACATCAACTGGAACTTTCCATGTTGAATTGGAAGCTCTGGAAATCTACATGAATTAATGCATGCACCTAAAATCCTGACAAAATAGGATTAAACGTAGTAAGTTAAAATTAAGTTATAAAATTTTAATAGCTAAATATACTTTCGTGGGTTAGGTATAGATTATATATAGATTCTAGATAGGTTTTATAGGTTTTAAATAGGTTCTATAGGTTATACTCTACTTAATATTCCTACTATCTACTAATTATAGGACTTTTTTAGTCTAAGATAGTAATAAAATAATAAGTCTACTATATTTAGCACTTAACTTCTATAAATATCCTTTAGTAAGTCTTTAATTCTACTCTTACTTATTTTTTATTATTCTCCTACCTCGTGATATTATATCTTAAAGTTAGAATTCTAATATATTTTTGTTATCTCTTTATAATAATATAGATAGTGTTCTATACCTCGTATTAGATCTCCTATAGCTATTTACCCCTAAGCCTTCTAGTAGTTAGCGAATATTCGATCTTTTTGATTAGGACTTTATCTAGCTATAGCCTCGCCTATTAATTCTATCCGCTTTAAAGCGCGTTAGCCTTAATCAAAGGAAGAACTATAACGTAATTCACAAGCCACCCGGCCACACAAGCCACCCGGCCACCTAAATAAATTTACGCGTCCCAACGCGTCTCTCCTATTTTCTACCAACCACCATGCCTCCAAAACGCGCTCAATCAAGCCGTAATTCCATCGAACAAGAGGGCCGTCTTTTATTAGCTACACAGGTTATAAAAAAGGAAGAAATTAGCTCTATTCGAGACACAGCGCGCTAATTTAACGTTCCACGTTCTACGCTCGCCGACCGCATTAATGGCCACCAAAATCGCTCTGAAAGACGCGCCAACAACCATAAACTGACCCAAACTGAAGAGGAATCGCTTAAGAAGTGGATATTATCAATGGATACGCGTGGAGCAGCCCCTAGGCCGGCTATAGTGCGAGAAATGGCGAATCTTTTGCTTGCAAAGCGCGGTTCAACCCCAATCCAGACGGTCGGCGAAAACTGGGTCACAAACTATGTCAAAAGACAGCCAGAGCTAAAGACTCGTTTCTCACGTCGATACGACTATCAGCGAGCAAAACAAGAGGATCCAAAGGTTATTCAAGAGTGGTTTAATCGCGTACAAACTACAATTCAGCAATACGGTATCCTACCGGAGGATATCTACAATTTTGACGAGACTAGCTTCGCGATGGGCCTTACAGCGACCGCAAAGGTTATTACCTAAGCAGAATACTACGGTCGGCGATCAGTTTTACAGCTAGAAAATCGTGAGTAGGTGACTACAATCGAGTTAATTAGCGCTTCTAGGTGGGCGCTTCCGCCTACGATTATCTTCAAAGCCAAACTGCATAATCTAGCTTGGACCGATAACCTTCCAAGAGATTAGCGCTTTGAAGTTAGTCAAAATGGATGGACGACAGACGAGATTGGCCTTCGATGGCTTCAAAAGCTATTTATACTATCAACTAATAGCCGTACGCAAGGCCGATATCGATTATTAGTCCTTGATGGGCACGGTAGCCATCTTACGCCCTATTTCGACCAAATTTGCTTAGAAAACGAGATTATCCCTATTTATATACTAGCGCATAGCTCGCATCTTTTACAGCCACTTGATATTAGTTGTTTTGCGGTTTTAAAGCGCTCATACGAAACCTTGGTTAATCAAAAAATGCGGCTTAGCATTAACTATATTAATAAGTTTGATTTCCTCGCTGCCTACCTAAATGCTCGCGATAGCGCTTTTCAAGCGCCTACTATAAAAAATAGCTTCGCAGCAGCGGGTTTAGTGCTATTCGATCCAGAACGAGTGCTTTCAAAGCTTAATATCTAGCTTCGGACGCCTACACCCTCAGGAAGCCGCCCAAGTAGCCGATCAAGCGTTTTTACCCCAAAAACACCAGCGACCATCGCTGAATTACTTAAACAAGGAGCATTAATCCAAGCTTTCCTAAAACGACGCTCAAATAGCCCACCAACACCCTCAAAAACCGCGTTAAACCAGCTTATTAAGGGCTGTCAGATCGCTATGCAAAATGGCATATTACTTGAGCAAGAAGTTAAGGAATTACGCGCTTCCAACGCAGCGCAGAAGCAAAAGCGCGCACGGGTTAATAGACGCATAGCCTACAAAGCTGGTATATCAGTGCAGGAAGCTCAGGAGTATTTACAAGCCCATGAGCCTATTATACAGCCTACGGCACCGTCTCCAGTAGCACCTAACCAGCCTATTCAGCAGGCGGTAGCACCAGCGCGACGACGTCAATACACCTGTTCTATATGCGGTGAAAAAGGGCATAAGTCCCCTACATGCCCAGTTAGGTAGAATAATTAATATAAAGGCGTTTTGGTTGAAAAAAATAGATATAAACAGGAAGTAGGTGGTTGGGTGGCCGGGTGGCTTGTGTGGCCGGGTGGCTTGTGAATTACGTTATACTTTACGATTATATAATATATACTAAGTAGATAGACTAGTGGATTAAGACTAACTATAGAAAGACTAGCAAAATCCACTAAGATACTAGCTATTTAGCGGACTTATAGTAGTACTTTAATTAAGTAGTAGAAAGTTCTAATAGCTAGCCTAAGATTATATATAAGCGCTACGGTCTAATCCTTAAGTATCTATCTTCTACTAGGACTCCTAGTAATATAAATTAATATAGTATATCTACGTTAATAAAGTATCTTCGCACTACTATATATTAATAGCGCGCGAGGAATATTTAATAAGGGGGCTAGTATTACTAGATTTCTATAAGATATAATAAGTTCTATTATATTTAAAGATATAACCTTAGAAATCGCTAATAAATATAATACTTTAAATAGAAGTATACCTAACCTATAAATAAATAGTTTATCTAAGAGGCCTAGGAAGAGAAGCTACTTACCTTCCTTATAGTTATATATCTTCCCTTTTAGCTTATTAAGTATCCTAAGTTCTATAACCTAATTTAAATAGCTTAACGCGCCCCTTCTAGCCTTAAGATCCCTTCCGTAAAGACTATTTATCGTTATCTATAAACTATTGTCGGGATTGGTAGTATATGAAAATAAGAGAGATAAATAAATGCCTAAGGGTCCCTATGCGGCAGGGCAGTCCTTAGGACAAATATTTGTAGAGAGAAATACTACCTCCCGTAGAGGTCAGCTATTACTGCAGCGTAGTAACTTACCCCTGGAAGATGAATAAAGATAAAGATAATAAGAGAGAATCTCTC